TGTCTTTCAACAACCTTACTGGGGATCTTCCTAGTTCAATTGGCTCCTTGGCAAACCTTTCAAGCCTGTAGGCATCTCTAACGAGTTTATCTACAACAAATACAGTTAATTATTTCTATCTTCATATTTAAGTTACCTAATGTCGGGATTAATATCTTACACTGCAGTTATTTAGAAGACAATCAATTAACCGGCCAAGTAGATATTCTCACCAGCCTTGATTTAACCAATTTGTAAGTTGGTTCTGTTATCATGTCAAGATACTTTTCTTCACAACAATTTTCCTGTAATACCTTTTCTTTCCAACAGAAATATTGCAAATAACCATTTTAGTGGCTGGATCCCTCAGGAGTTCAGAGCTATTCCAGACCTTTCGTGAGTAGTTCAATTGCTCGATGCATCTGCTTATATGCTAATTTTTCTTTTGGGTTCTCGATATTAGCCCCCCAAATATTTCATAATTTAAAATTAGTCACCCAGGTTTTCATCTTTTGTAATTAGTGCCCAAATCTTTTTAAGTGATTTGCAGTTAGTCCCTCCAGGTGGAGACGGGTTGAAATCGAGGGAATATTCCATCATCTTTAACAATTTTGGATGCAATACCAGTTATCCCCCTACATGCTACCCCAAAAAACTTCACTGGAGCAAAATTGGGAAATATTCTTCAATATAAGAGTTAAATCCAATTGAACCTTACTTTGGAGGATTTTGATGTTGATTTTGATTGATTTTCGTAAGTCGGTAATTGTTCTTCCCTGGTTAACCACTAACCCAACTGAGGGACTAATTTCGAAGTACGAAGATTTGGGGGACTAATTTTAGATTGATAACGAAAAAACTCTTGTTTTGTTTTTTTGAATTACTTTTCATCTCCTTTGTTCCTAATGTATTGTTTCTCCTTTCATCTGCACAGAGTTGGAGGTAATTCATTTGCAAATGGTCCTGCTCCACCTCCGCCTCCTTATGCCCCTCCTCCTCCTAGAAGGCCACATAATAATCATAATCATAGTAATCTGCCTCTGGAAACTCCAGAAGGTTCTAAAGGACAGGACTTAAACCAGAATCATGGAAAAAATAAGAAAGTCTTGACGGGTGGTCAGATTGCAGGTATAGTTACAGGCTCAATTATTGGTGGTGGTTTATGTGTGGCACTTGCTGTTGCATTTTGTCTTCGGAAACTTGGCAGAGGTACAAGGATAACCAAAGGTAGATCTGGAGACATCATGATGTCTCCTATCGTAGCCAATTCAGGTACCCTTGTTTCTAGTTTTTCTGCCTTATAATTTCACATGACCACACTTAAAGTTTGGCCCGTTTTAAGGTAACCCCCTAAGATTTATAAGTGACTTAACCCCTCTATCCTTTGGGGCTTTCCACTGAACTCCTGAATGTTCCTAAAATTTTTCAACATAGCATTCTAACTACACAACCCCAATTTGTTTTCAACATACGCCCCCAATTTTCAACATTATTTTTAGAGAATCCCCCAAACTTCCAACATTATTTTCCGAAAACCCAAACTTTCAACATTATTTTCAAAATGCCTGTGAACTGTTGATAGAGTTTCAGACACCATTATTATGCACTACGGGTGTCGAAAAAAATAGCAGACATTTGGGTAACAATCCCCAAAGGCTATGGGGTTCAGTGACATTTATAACATTTAGGAGGGTTATATCAAAATGGGCCACACTTTAGGGGTTTCTATGAAATTCACTCTTGATATTACTAAATTTTCAGTTTGTCAAGTGATATTGGCTCCCAACACTTTGTGGTCTTAAATTTGTCTTATCGCTGTTCAACAGAAGATATGGATATTTTAACTTGGATAATATACTTTACACTAGAAAGTTGAATCTCTGAATCTGGATTTCATGTATTCATCTAATTTTGCAAACTATTTGTTGGATTTAGTTTCTTATTTGAGCTGAGTATGCTTACTCCAGAGGTAATGGAACTTCTCTTAAAACTAAACAAAAGTCTGAGAATTCATTTAGTACAAGGGATTAGAATAGATGTGAGGTATGGCGATAGTGAAGAGTCTTGAAAGTGTGCATGTTTTAGGAAGCTAAAGTTCTTCTCATGTTAGGAATCTAACATTCTACTCAAATAGAGGTAAAAAAAACAAGTGAACTTAATCAACATGGTACACCTCAGTCCATCATCAACTAGTATATTGGCATGTTTTGACTAGGATGATTTGGTCATTTTCATACCACATACCCATCTGGCAATGAAATAATATGTAGCTGCTACTAAAGTTAATATGTAGCACACAGCACAATGATGTCCTTGACACAAGTATCCAAGGTAATTTTGACTTGACACGATCTAAATTTGGTTTTTCACTTTCGCAGTTACAACTAAAGAGGTGCCGGACCAATATCTTAGAAGTGCTCCGGTGACAAATCTGAAGCCTCCACCTGTAGAGAAAACGACAATAGAGAGGGCATCTGGAAAAAATGGGTCTTTAAAAATGCCGAAGCTTCCAACTACTGCAACTGCTTACACTGTTGCAGCTCTTCAAACTGCTACAAACAGCTTTAGTCAAGAATCCCTTGTTGGTGAAGGTTCACTTGGCCGGGTATATAGAGCAGAGTTTTCAAATGGGAAGGTAGTGAATGAATCTACTATAGATTTCAAAGTTTATCTTTGTCTTCTTCATTGGTATCTTAATTCATAGGAAGGAAAATAATGGAGAGAAAACTGTTGTAGTTCCATTCTTGGAAAAGGAATCAATTTTCTTTACGTCCACAATTGTCACTGTAGTGTCTGAACAGAACATATCTTCTTACAGTAACTGAAGAAAAAGAATAACAAAGAAAATAATTCTTCATTCGACTTTTAATCAGCAACGAGATCTTTGAAGTTCATTATAGTCCAGATTTAGCTGAAAATATCTGGGTAAATTTCACAAAACCCCTGATAAGTTTGGGCGTTTTTCACATAACCCCAGTAAGTTTGACTTAACCCCCAATAAGTTTTGTTAGAAAACCCCAATAAGTTTTGTCAGAAAACCCCCAATAAGTTTTGACTTAACCCCCAATAAGTTTTGTCAGAAAACCCCCAATAAGTTTTGACTTAACCCCCAATAAGTTCTGTCAGAAAACCCCTAACATTTCAATCTTCCTTGAACTTCTTACTTCCAGATAAATGCTATATGTTTTTAAAAACCATTAATTGATCAGTATGTTACTGTGCAGGTTTTGGCTGTGAAAAAGGTAGATAGTGCAGCCTTATCTCTACAAGAGGAAGATAATTTTCTTGAGACTGTCTCAAATATGTCTCGACTTAGGCACCCAAATATCACAACTCTGGCAGGCTACTGTGTGGAGCATGGACAGTGCCTTTTAGTTTATGAATACATTGGAAATGGAACATTGCATGACATTTTGCACTATTCTGGTGATAGCAGTGCTCTAAGTTGGAATGCACGTGTGAGAGTAGCACTTGGCACTGCCCGGGCTTTAGAGTAAGTTGTTGTTTGTATCTAGAATTTGTATTTTGTTGGGTTACTTGAGGATAGCCCCGCCTACTATCGCTGTTTTGAACATACTACCCCTCTAGTTTTATAGACCCCCTGAGTGCAAATTTTTGACTCTTTTTTGCCCTCAGAGAAAGAAAATTGTTTCTTTACATATAGACCCATGAGGGTAAAAGAGTAAAAACAAATTGATTCTGGTGGTCTATCTGCAACAGTAAAACTAGAGTGTCAGTAAGTTCAAGACAGTAGTGATACTACAGGAGGTCTAACCGATTAACCCTATTTCTTTCGTTATGCATGCATATATTAAAAGGACATTCATTTCTTTTTTCTTTGTTCAGGTATCTTCATGAAGTTTGTTTGCCTTCTGTTGTACATAGAAATTTCAAATCAGCAAATATTCTACTCGATGAAGAGTTTAATCCTCACTTATCAGACTGTGGACTTGCTGCATTGGCACCCAATACTGAAAGACAGGCAAGTATATTTTCATACTAGTTTGTATTATATTAATATCAAATGATGCAATAAAAATCATTGATGTTTATTTGTACGTGATAGATCTCCACCGAGATGGTTGGCTCGTTTGGTTATAGTGCTCCTGAATTTGCCATGTCCGGTGCTTACACTGTGAAGAGTGATGTGTACAGCTTTGGAGTAGTGATGTTAGAGCTATTAACTGGTCGCAAACCACTTGACAGGTTTATTCTAGATTTTCCTCCTTGAATATTCTCATATTTTGTTTGGTAATTTCACTTAATCACCCTTGAACTTTGAGGTGATTTTGCACATAACCCCTCTGAACATTGTGGTTTCTCACTTAGGTCCCTTCTTTTCCCTTTGAAAATTTTCTCACAGCCCCTGACATCTTTACCTATTAATGGTTAAATGACCAAAACGCCCTTTTCAAAATATAACCCCAGAAAATGGAAAAAAGGAATAAATTGAGGGGGTCTTTTCATCCTTCGATGTCAACTGCTTGGCACATGACCTGTCAAAGTTCCATAATGTTACTTTTGGTGGAGGGGTTTTTAAGTGAGATGGGGGGTGTGAAATTTACCCTTTTATGCATGATATCTCCAGACATCTCTCTCTGTCCTTGATTTGTTGCTTATTTCCTGTTCTTCTTTTTTCCCGATGGATGTATCAGTTCTAGGCCAAGATCAGAACTCTCACTTGTCATATGGGCTACTCCCCAACTACATGACATCGATGCATTGGCAAAAATGGTTGATCCTGCATTGAATGGAATGTATCCTGCAAAATCACTGTCACGATTTGCTGACATCATTGCCCTATGTATTCAGGTACTTATTTTTGAACAGATTTTTCTTTTTTTATCCAATATTTGATTCTTCAAAGAGAGAATAGTTAACAATATGCCATTTTCAAGACCTAAAGAAGAATGGTGCATTATAGTCTTTGAATGCTTAAATCATGATTTTAATTTCAGCCACTTCATACGAAGTGGACCAGCTTGAACTGCGTTGGTGTACATGTACGCGCATGCGTGTAGTTAGAAATATATGAAATACCCAATGGACAAAATTATTTAGCAATCGAATTTTGTCATATTTATGCTTTAGCAAGTGCTTTCTAGTCGTCTGTATCGTTAAGAGAAATCCAATATTATAACTTGTCATGGAATCAGCTAAGGGATCCTGATTATTTGACTAAAGAAAAATATAGTTTGAACTGCTCATCCTATCTCTAGAAAAGAAGAAAGCTCTTCAGTATACTCTCAAGTTGGTCATAAGTTTATTCTTCATCAATCATTTTTTTCACCTAACTCTCGCTACTAGAGTTTCATACTCAAAATATGCCAGGATCCAAAATATGTACAAGATGAGGGGGACAAAATAAGAGAAAATGCATCACCCAACAGAACATAATCTTATGCTTTGTTGCCTTGCCTCAAGTCTGAATAGGTGTCCATGAGGATAGGCACACGTCTTATTAGTTACCTATTAACATGGCGAACTTTATTTTTCATATATTTGATTTGCCTTTCTTGTGTTAACCTAATTATCAAGTTGTTGATGATTTTGGTGCAGCCGGAGCCAGAGTTCCGTCCACCAATGTCTGAAGTAGTACAATCGTTAGTTCGTTTAATGCAGAGAGCAAGTGTAGTCCGAAGGCGATCTGCAGAGGATTTGGGAATTTCTTATAGGACATCAGAGCATGAAGTAAATACAGATTTGTCCTTTTAAAGAGTTTTAACTCCTCATCACCTGTTTTGTAGGGTCAAAACTATATAATCATGAAGCAATAGATACCCTGGTGTCCATACAGAATCCAATTGAGGAGTCGGTGCGTTTATTTGTATATGTTGTAGAGAAATAAATAAGTCGAACTGGCAATCGAAAGGAAGTAACATCCAGCAAAGTTTGATTTTGATTTATTGAAATTCAGTCTGCTAATAAAAAGTTGATAAGAGAGTAGTTGGTTGTATGGCAGAATTTTTGTTCGCTTGATATCTCGGAAATTAAATTAGAATTTGCTTTCTTTGGTGTGTCTCAAATGATGTATACTGAAGAGAATATAGATTATTTGCAGTGATAATTTATTTATACATGGTCTAACCATTTTGGACTTCCTTCGTATCAGAATCATACGCTATTTTCAAGCATTTTCCTATTTAGTAGAAAGCTTATAATTGAGACCCTGTAGAAAATCACATACTTAGAAATCCTGAATTTAAAACTAAAATCAAATTTGGAAATTTTATAAAACATTTCAAGTTGAGAATTGATGTGATAAATGATTAAGAAAAAGTACTCAGAAACCAAACATCGATGGATACTGGACTTCTAGCTCTATTTATTCGGAGCATGACGCCAGAACAACTGCTTATTTACCAAAAACTTTATTTAGAATCTAGGGTTAATTGACAACAGATCCCCTACAGTATCATCCAATTGCAAAGAGACCCGTGTAGTTTTATTTATTGCAAATAGACCTTCTGTGGTTCTACTTGTTGCGAATAGACCTCATGAGTGAATTTTTTTTTAATCTCAAATTTGTTAAAAATGTTTGGGGAGGTGGATAGACACCAAATTGTTAATTCCTTCGACTTTTAAAAAAGTCGAAAAAGTTTATTGGGGCGCCGCTTGTTTTTGTGTGTGTGTTTGGGGGGGGTGTATTCGCGCGTGGGCCAATATGAAGGGGGTCTATCCGCGACAAATATAGCTACAAGTGATCTATTTGCAACAATAGAACTACATGGGGTCTGTTTGCAATTAGCCCAATAGTTTATTAAGACTGTTACATCAGCAATGAGTTTGGTAAAGTCTTGTTAATGAGAGGGAACTGTCCGATACAAATTTCTCTCCGAAAACCACGTTTTTGTTTGCTCAGAATGCTGCCCAATTAGGACAGAACAACAAACTCTATGGCAGTTGGATGGAACCACAAGAGCGCCTTTATCATCAGTTTTTATTTATTTTTAAAGCAGCATTTTGCTTGTTTACTAAGGCTCATCTCTTCTCAGCGACTTTCAACTACTCTCATCACTTGAAATTGTAAAAAAAAAAAAAAGGAAAAAAAAAGATGTCACCATGGTTTAACGAAACTACATTCTTTGGATGATGACTCTTAGTTCTATTGAGTCAAACTGATAAAATGACTGAGTTTCTTAATTCAGTTTGGATAATAATGCATAGGTAACCCCTAAACATGTTTTCTTCAATGTTCATCTACAAATTTTTTTAGTGGTCTGCTTACTCCAAAAATCATCTAAGAAGTTAAGGAATTGTGTTATCTAGGAAGAACTTTGGAGATGGTGATCATCACCTAATTCTTTTCTTTTTTTGACACAAAAAGTCTCGTCTTTACTGTTCTAGGTGCAACACGTGAGAAATATAGTACAAGGGGATTTGTGAAAATACTGCAAAATATAGGATTGCTCAGCTTGGTTCACACCGCCCGCCCCGCCGCCCCGCCCTCTATCACACACACACACACAGAGAGAGATACGTTGAAATGACGTTTCAAAATACATAGAAGCTTCACCCAGTTATAAAAGGTAGAAGATAAATTTGCAAAAGTACCTTCCTAATATATACAGTACATGTTATATTTCTCACAAATTCATTGAATTTTGTTTCATTGATTACTCTACATATATATTCTTTCCATGATAAGGAGAGATCCCCTTATTACCATTTCTCCTCAGCAAGCTCACCCAACAATCCAATTCAATTCTTCAAACACACTTAGATATGGTAAAAAGAAGGTAGCTTGAATCTATACAAAGTATATCAGAGTTGGTGAAAGAAAAAACATTCTTGACAACCAAACTCTTAATGTACTAATAAAGAAACCAAAAACAGTGAAATACAACTTTCTTTCCTCCTCATTTCTATCATCAAGCTCCTCTTCTTGCACTTGTTGAAGTTAATGGGAAGACCCTTTACCTTCACAAATGAGCCATTCTCATTGTTGTTTCTTTTTCTTCTTCCTGTTGTAACTCAAGGCGTTTTCGACTATAGAGATGCGGTAATCAAGAGCTTACTCTATTTCGAGGCTCAGCGTTCTGGTCACCTCCCTTATAATCAACGAGTCACTTGGCGTGGGCATTCTGGGCTCACCGATGGACTTGATCAAGGAGTATGTTTTCTTTTACAACCATAATTTTCTAGTTTTCATCAAAGTTTCAAACTTACGTTGATGAAAAATGTTGCTTCAGGTTGATTTAGTGGGAGGATATTATGATGCAGGAGACCATGTAAAATTTGGGTTGCCAATGGCGTTTACAATAACTATGTTGGCTTGGTCTACTATTGAGTATGCTGATGAAATAACAGAATCAGGGGAGTTTGAGCATGTACTTGAGGCTATAAAATGGGGGACTGATTATTTCATCAAAGCTCATACTCATCCTAATGTTTTCTGGGCTCAAGTATAGTACTCTCATTTTATGCGCATTTTGCTTAATAATGCGATGAGAGAAAAAGAAACTGATTCTTTTTTCCCAGGTTGGAGATGGATCGAGCGATCATTATTGTTGGCAGAGGCCAGAAGATATGACGACGCCAAGAAGAGCGTATAAGATTGATGCAGAGAATCCAGGATCAGAGGTTGTTGCTGAGACTGCGGCGGCATTGGCTGCTGCTTCCATTTTGTTCAGGAAATCAAATCCTCATTACTCTCATTTGCTGCTACATCATGCCCAGCAGGTACTATTTCCATATATGCACGTAAGTTTTGTACAAGTATGTTAAAAAAAACCTTATCTATGTTCATAATTATGTCATTGCCACAGGAGGTTTTGTTTGCATACTGAATACTGTACATAACTTTTATAAAAATAGCTGATATTCTGTACGTGTACTGACACACACATATTTTACACAGTTAAGTACAATCTCGATACATACACACAAGTTTTGCACAAATAAGTTCAATAAATTATGGATATGTTCAAATATTACAATGGCGCCACTTATGGCTGTGTGTATATATACCGATACACAAATTTTGCACAGATAGGTGCATATATGATACCGACACGCAGGTTTAACACAACTGGGTAATATCTTCCATATTTACGCACAAGTTTTACATAACTACGTACAGAAACTATCCATATCTTCAAAAGTTATGATACTGCCATTAACACTTGTTTCTGTATACTGATACTTTGTATATTGCAGTTGTTTGAGTTCGGAGATAAATACAGGGAGAAGTATGACAAGAGTTTAGGAATTGTTAAGGGTTACTACCCGTCGACTAGCGGCTATGGCGACGAATTATTATGGGCCGGGTTTTGGCTCTATAAAGCTACACGGGCCGAGAAATACTTGGACTATGTCATAAAAAATGCTTATACATTAGGTGGAGCAGGATGGAAGATATCAGAGTTCAGTTGGGATATCAAGTATGCTGGCGTTCAAGTCCTTGCTGCTAAGGTACTCTACTTGTTCAAAATTATAACAATCTCTTTGCTAACTAATCCTTGAATTCAACTCTATGACTAATTCTTTAGGGTACATTTAACGAGACCCCCCTTAAGCTTGACCATTTTCAACAAGACCCCCCTAAACTTTATAAATGTCACGTAACCCGGACTAAGACTGTTAGATCTGATCGTGCAGAAATCGCATGTGAGAAAATGACTAGAATGCCCCTGATGAAAACCCTTTCCCTCCGCCTTTCTCATTTCGTTCCGAGTTAGAGGACCAGATCCCCCTTATTTATTTGCTTTCTTGCTACTGTTTTGTTGTGCGGCATTTTCGTCTAAAAAAATGCGGTTAACACCAGTATGTGGGTTATTTGCAAAACTTGAAATATTTTGGGGTTTATGTAAGAAGACCAAAACTTTGAGGGGGGCAACGAACGCTCATAAAGTTTAGGAGGGTTATCTCAAAAAGAGGCCAAAACTCAAGGGATTTTTGTGAAATTTACCCAATTCTTTAAAAATAGGAAGTCAAGCATCTGTACTTCATTTTCTTTCTTGTTTTTTTTTCTTCTTTTTTCCATGAGAGTGTGAGAGAAAAATGATCGGAGTTCGATTCTTCTTCGTGGAAACAAAAAAAGGGATTATTCAATGGAGTAGGTTCACTAGTTGAAATGTCAATTAGAGGAAAATGCTTGCTACCAAATTGCTGCCGACTCCTGAGAAAATATTGAGGTCAGTGCATGGACAACATCAGAGTTGTGGGCCCCACCTTCACACAAACAAATCATTATATAGAGGGTTAGCTTCTGGATTAAGCTAATTATTACTGAAATGAAAAGGTGCGATATTCATTTGCTGATATCTCTTTGTCAATAATCACTTTACACAATGATTCAACTTGTGGGATTATGACATGTGGAAAAGCCTCCAGATTTGAATTTCTCTTGGAAACACACAACATGTGGGTGATAAATATTTTTTTAAAAATTTTGTGATATTAAGAAAATTTGAATCCAGTACCTCCTTTAAATATGGAGTGATGTCCAAAGTCCAAACTACTTAATTCAAAAGTTTTCAAGTAATCATCTTATGAGTTAACAGGAAGGTAAATTTACAATGCTAACATGAATTATGAGTGTTTGCACAAAACCATGATAACCTTTTTCATTAGAGAAAACTACAAAAAAATCATAAGCTACTGAAAATTGTCGCTAACGATGTCACCGACCAGGATAAAGGACTAAACTACCCCTGAAAATTGGAGGAAAACTATGGTAGTACAGAAGATATGAGGAAAAAATTATTCAAAACATGTCAACTTACTCTAACGTTGTACATCCATTGTTTAAAAAAAAATTATGGCACTTTCATGCAAAACACCCTGAAGCTGAAGATATTTCTCTAGTATTTACCCTTTACAATTTATACGAAGACAAGATTATTTATGGTCATATTTCATTTTTGTGCTAATTCTTATCATCATTGAAACAAAATTTTTCTATTGACATGTTGCATAACCTTCTTTTATATTACTTGCATCAAATCTAGATGTACAAATACTAACGCTCTTACTACATTTTTTTTTCTAGCTTTTGGTGGAAGACAAATCCGCAAGCGAGCACAAAGAAATACTAAACCAATACAAATCAAAAGCCGAGTTCTACTTATGCTCATGCCTCAACCTCAACATAAACAATAGTAATGTCCACTGGACGCCTAGTGGTCTCCTCTACATTAGAAGATGGAACAATATGCAGTACGTCGTTTCCGCAACTTTCCTGCTCACCGTCTACTCCGACTACTTACAAAATTCAAACCAAACCCTCCAATGCCCTAAAGGCTCTCTACAACCTCACCAACTTCTCTCATTTGCTAAGTCTCAAGTAGACTACATATTAGGCTCCAACCCAATGAACTTGAGTTATCTTATTGGATTCGGGTCAAAGTATCCAAATAGAGTTCATCATAGAGCGGCGTCGACAGTGACTTATAAGGAGCATGGTGAGTTTATTGGGTGCAGTCAAGGGTATGATTTGTGGTTCGGGCGACAAAAACCGAACCCGAATGTGTTAACGGGTGCAATTGTCGGGGGTCCGGATTTGAATGATGAGTTCAGAGATGTTAGGGGGAATTTTATGCAGACTGAGGCTTGTACTTATAATACTGCACCTATGGTTGGCGTGTTTGCAAAATTTTTTAGGTTGGAAGAGGAAAATGGAGGAGCGAGGCTCAAAGATTCTTCTAAGTAGGAATTCACTGATTTTTTTTAGTAGGTAGTATTTTTAAGGTCTTCTTCTGATTTTTTTTCCCTTCAAATGGCGGAACGAAATCATTTTTTCTATTACATAATACAATAAGTTGTTGGATTCTTGCGCACTATTGCATAATTTATGATGGACTAGTATTCAAGGATTAAGTTAATTTGGGAACTTTTAGAAGTTTTATTCTATTGGAGGAACACTATTTATTCTACTCCTACGACGGCAGTAAGAACTAATGATACATGCTTGCAATGCAAAAGACCGGATCATGCCAATATTAGGAAGAATCGCAAAGAGTGAACGGGAAGAAAACAGAGATGATTAGGGTTCAATATTTGAGAACATAATATTCTCTTTATTTCATGCTCTACCCCAAAGGGAAAGGAAATTTTACTTCTAAATTGTAACATTGAACATTTCAAAGGGAAAGGAAAATTTACTTCTAAATTGTAACATTGAACATTTGTGCATTAGAAGTAGTTATTTCTTTATTATCAGAAAATTGGTACTTGTAGAGAGAGGGAAAAAAAGCTTACCAAGATACACGCCTTGGAGAAAGTATTAAGTTGTGCACGACCATAACAGATTATTTCAGAGGAAGTAATTTGATATTATTTACATTTTTATTTCTTTGGAATCCAATGGACACACGAAAAGAACAATAGAGTACATCAAAATTCAAAAATCAAATTGTTTCCTTATGGTGGAATCATTCAATTTCCTTTTCTGGTCCAAGATATACAGTGCTACTAATCGACGCAAAAATTAGTAAACATCCAATGATTTTACTAAATGAAACAGCCGCTCCCAAGAATATCATGCCCCACACTTGCGAAAATAGTACCTGAGAATAAAGAACATATATTTAACAGATATGGCAATGTCACTTCGATCGCAAAAGAATCTGGAACAATTAGTTAGCAAAGAAGAGTAATAGAACACTAAAATTAAAGAACCAAGGCACAAGTCTCTAATAAAGTTAAATATTTGATATTAGTCCCCACAAATCAAGAATTCTATACATAACCCTACCGATTAGCTAAAACTTCTACATCAGCGTCAAAGGAAATAGACACTGATTAGTGAAATAGGTAGAAAAAGAAGTCAATCCAGCTACTTTCACACATTGTCAGTAGAACATCTAGCTTGTAAGGGAAAACAATGAAGCTAAAGAACATTCTCGGACAAGTAAAACCAACAGCTGTTGCCAAACTTATTCTACACGCCATACAGAAAATTGACAATTTGATAGTATAGTTCCATCTGAACGAGAATTTATGCAAACAAAAGAAGGGGGGAAAAGGGCTCTAATAACTCCCAGGAGAAGTTTAAAAGGAGTTCAGATAATATCAACTTATGTTGCTCTGGCAAACATGCAATAATAATAAAATCTTAGGATACTCAAAGAACAATTTTTCACTTCAGCCCCATTTCAATTTTTTTTATTTAAATCGACCCTTTTTTTATTTACCAAAACCGACCCGATTTTTTGATTAGCAGCTTAATCACCTTCCTAAACAGTCGGGGTTGGCAACCCCGACTATTTAGGACATTAATTTTTAGGGTTTAAGGCTTCTAATTAGGGTTTAACACCCTCCTAAATAGTTGGGGTTGGCAACCCCGACTGTTTAGGATGGTGATTAGGCTGCTAATAAAAAAATCGGGTCGGTTTTGGTAAATAAAAAAAGGGTCGATTTAAATAAATTTTTTTGAAATGGGGCTGAAGTGAAAATTTGTTCATACTCAAATTATTAACTTGAAATGACTGAATCTAAAATATAATAAGTAAACACAATAATAATAAACTATATCTAAGAAATGGTGCGTGAATCATTTGCTCATTGTTAGTTGCCACAAGGCAAGGAAGGAAGAAAGATGCTACAAAAATTGTGTTCCTTCGACTGACTATTGCAGAAATTAGAAGAGTAGGCAATACAAGTCCTTACTTTTCAGGTCATTTAGATTTTCCCACTACTGGAATGTAGTAAAAGGAAAGAAAATGTCTGAAACAGAGGTAAAAATCACCATTGCCTATAACATTTTCCATCAAAATGAGGTCAGTATCGACTGCATAAGACTCAACGAAAGAATTGAAACTCTTTTGATTGCCTTCCGGTTTGATGTCCACACCCAATTTTAGCACAAGGTTTCTTGCCAAGCATAGTAGACTAGTAGTAGACAAGGAGAACGTTCTAATGACCAACATCTGTCCAAATTGCATCATTTTGGTCATAATAGGTCCAGGTGGGAAGCCCCCCACTTGGGCCACCTTTTCAATTAAACGAATTAGGCTTGAGCCTACATCCGACCCAACTTAGACCTGTACAAGTCATCTTTATAAATGTAAGCGGCAATTGTATTTTGCATACATACATACATACAAACAATCAGTTCTCGTCTTGATTGAAACTGACTGTGTGTTCTATCTGTCGACTATGCATAATTTCAAAATAAATCTAGGAACTAATAAATTAGTGTGATCCAACATATACCCAGCTAACCTGACTCAACAAAACTTGAGCCCGTCTTAAAATCTCAGTCCTGCATGATGCCAGGTTGGAATGAGGTTATTAAGACCCCAAATGAAGTTCAGTTGGCTTTGAGTAGGGATGATTTTAGACACAGGTCGAGTTAGGGCCAGAGGACCTTCAACCTGATAAAAATAGCTCGAGCTGCACTTGTAGCCAAGAGGCATTGGATTTGGTGAAAACATCACTCTTGATCATTCTAGCTAGTCTAGGGTTTTTCTTGATATGATTTGGCTCATAACTCTATTGTTGATAATGCCAGTGCAAGTGGAAATTCTAACCTCCCATTTTCAGAGGAAAATTCCTCTTACTACTGTATCCCATGCCCTGAACATGTGACCTGTCCGTTTATGCTCCCGTCGTGATATCCGCTCTAAACAACAATGCTCCTTGGGTGGTTCTTACTAATCAAAATATAATGCATACGGTTACAAATTTATTATCTTCGGTTCTGTATAAAGGAAAGAGAAGAAGGGGCAAAAAAGTAAAAAGTTTTTCCCCTAGAAACCACATTAAAAATAGAGTAACTATACAGAGACCACCGTTCAATTTCAATTTACACATAAATCACCTTTAAAGTGGGTTTTTGTTGCAATCAACCACATTCTAGTTGAATTTTGACTAAAAAATAAAAAATATGGTTAAAAAAAATTCAAGTTCAAGATACGTGAGTTGTATCATAACAAGACCTAAACATCAAGAAAATGAGTCACGTGCCTTGAATGTGAGTTTTTTAAGGGTATTTTTGGGTTTTTAGTGAAAATTTTGACCAGGAGGTGATAGCAACAAAAACCCACTTTAAAGATGGTTTATGTATAAATTAAAATTAAAAGCTGGTTTTCGTATAATTATCCTATTTTTAAGACGGTTTCTAGGAAGAACCCCAAAAGTAATGAAGTGAAAGAGGAAAGTAAATACTGATGGTGAGTAGTGACTAGTGAAGCGGCTAAACCAGAAAATTTTAGACATTCCCCTCTAGTGTGAGAGAAATCATCTTTATCAACCATTTGGGCAGTTAAAAAATGAACTTTCTGATCAATAGCCTGCATGTCTTAACAAATATCAAAGAGCTAAACCAGAAATTTTCAGATATTCTCCAAAGACCTACGTTTTTGGATAAGTCGTCATCATCGACCATTTGGACAATTAAAAAAACAACTTTCTAATCAACAGCCTGCACATTTTAACAAATAACAAACAGCTATCTCTAAGAATGCTATCCAACGAACTGGATTCTACTCAGTAAATCAGTAGCTGCACAATAGGATCTATGTCATCAACAATCAATAATCTATGTCTTCAAGTTGATATGTGCTCCACAACTATCACTTTAACACACTTGTTACAACTGTATGTATTTTAGGTACATCTAAGAGCTCTGTATTCAAAGCATAATGATCATGTAGATTTCTAACAGAATAAAGGAACAAATCGTGAGAAAGAATGTCCTTTGAATGTCAAAAGAAACTGACCTTCATGTATAGAATGTTTGTGACCTTGCTGAGCTTCTCAAGCTGAAGACCACGAGCTAAACAGATCTGAAGAAAGATCAAATTTGAAGAGATTAAAGTTATCATAAGCTTTATAATAAGAGAGAATGAAGACATAATATATTGAAAAGAACGATCGCAGGCATAAAAAATTAGCTGACATAGCATGTGGAAATTTACAATTGAAACTGTTGGGAGATACCTCAGCAAAGAACGCCAGTACACCTAGAATGACAGATAAAAACAACGCGAATACACTAGGTAGTACAAACTTCTGCAAGCAAAAATGTTCATTAGGAAGAAAGATTAGTCCTGGAAATGCCAACACTGCTAGACTTATTCAGTTGTTAAAAGACACACTAGATGCTCAATAAAATATGCGAGAAAGAGCAATTAGAAAAATGATATTGAGTGGTTGACATAGAAATAATGCACTTGTATATCAACCACTTAATATAGTTTTTGGTTGGGTTAATTTCTATGTCAACCACACAATATTAACTATGAAACTTACAAGCTATTATTATTTTTGGCTGGGTTAATTTTCTCATTGTTACAAACAACTATTCTGATACAATCAAAGATGACCAGTCATGAAGAGCTAAGACCATCAATATGCATGGAAGATGACCAGTCATGAAGAGCTAAGACCATCGATATGCATGGAATAAGAAAAGCAGAAAAGTGTTAAGAAAAAGAACAAAAACTCAAATATCTGTTATATCCTCACTCAGATAGCACTAGTTGACCGTTGAGAAATGACAGTAATAAACGACTAAAGTACCAACGGCAAATTTGGCACTTCCGTACAGTTTCGTGATATGGAAAGTCCTGTGTGGTTAACTGTGACAAAGAAAACTTCTGAACACCAGATTCAGCCATCAACTAGGCCTTGTGCAAAATACATTGAAGGGATACATTTACAATGAAGGATATGTCTACAAGGAAGAATAGAATGAAATGATTAAGCAAAAAAGATGAAGAATAAAGAAAGACGAGGAGCTGTTGTAGATATTTTTCTTGCATTAAAGGGTTAAACAAGAGGTGAACTGAAAAATAATAACAGGCAACTTCCATGAAACAATCTGCCCTCTCTGAAAAGACATAAGTGGTAGAAAGTGAGATCTGAGAAATGATGCAATCACAGATTCTGTCCTTAAACTAGCGATTGGCGAAGAAGTAACCAAAGTTCTGGCACACCACAGCTGAGGTTTGATAATTAAAACTAGTCATCATATATTAATTTTACCTAGTAATCCATATGCTTTTTGATAGATGTCATCAAGGTTTTCAATTTTGACGATGGACGTGATTTCCTAGTCAATTACTGTTCATCACACCTCAAGTATTCACTTTTTCTATAAAAAAAGAACTTGGGAAACAAAAAACATCACCACTAACCTGATGCCACTGTTTCCGAAATTAGAGCTTCCACCTAATTTTAAAGTTTTCTCTTTGAAATGTCAATAATCGGATTGCATTGTAACCTCTTTACCACTTTAATCAAGAGCTACTACAAATTATCAGCTATTCGAACACACATGTTCCTCCTCCAATGAGCACGCTCCTCTTCATGAGTGCACGATGCGCGTTAATCTTTATAGATCCGGTTATAAGTGAATACTTGTTTGATCTCCGTAAAGCTTGTGAATTACAAATCATAACACCTGTCTTATACCCCACTACGCCCTTGAAGTGCTCCCTCCCTCCCTCAATTTACAAATTAGTAAGAAGCTATCTTTGTGGTATATAATAAAATTTATCTTCTTAGTGCAATATCCTAGGACAAGTCACTTAAAGCAATGTTTCTAGAACAACTGGTCGACATCAGCATGACAAATTTATGCATATATATTAATCATACACACTGAATTCTCCAGACATCAATGACATGGCAGGGAAGATTACAATCACATTTGACAACTTATGATACGGGTGTATCTTCTCTTTGGAACTTAGCGATCCTCATGGGAGCTTGAGGATAGATGATTCTCATAATAGCATGAGAATATGGGTGTAAAACAGTACGGTGGAACGCAGGTGGAAGCGTGAAACGAGACGGCGAGCAGCAGATTCGAAGAATCCAGTTTTCAGCTCGTGAGTCGACTTATACATGAACATGAGTCGACTCATCAGGTTGAGTCGGCTCATGCCTGTCATGAGTCGACTCACGAAATCAAGCCATGTTAGCAAAAGTCTCTAACCAGTCGACTCATCAGTTATGAGTCGACTCATCTCAGTCATGAGTCGACTCATCGACAGTTTCCTGATTCGTTTGGGTTTCTGTTTGCACAAATTCCTGTTAGGGTTTGGTCTGGTTACTTACCAGATTGTCATCCACGTTTGTACACCTATATAAAGGGTTGTTTAGGATTTCTAAACATCATCTTGATCAGCTTAGATCTTAGAAATCTTAGAGATCTTAAATCAGAGGGAATTAAGAAAGATTCTAATCATTGTATTAGGGTTTAGAGAGGATTGAGATGTTGTTCTCGATTCTAGTGAGATTGTGAGGGAGAGATTGTAATTTTTTGTTCTTCATAATCTAGAGAAGGTATTTTCCTTCGTCATACTGAATTGTTCTTGTGTTTTAGTTGTCTTCTTCTCAACCCACCTTTTGGTAATTCCGCGATTAAAGGGTGCTCGCACGGCGACTCGTATCAAGTAGAGAAGAAGACAACTAAAACACAAGAACAATTTAGTATGTCGAAGGAAAATACCTTCTCTAGATTATGAAGAACAAAAAAAATTACAATCTCTCCCTCACAATCTCACTAGAATCGAGAACAACCTCTCAATCCTCTCTAAACCCTAATACAATGATTAGAATCTCTCTTAATTCCCTCTGATTTAAGATCTCTAAGATTTCTAAGATCTAAACCTAATACAATGATTAGAATCTCTCTTAATTCCCTCTGATTTAAGATCTCTAAGATTTCTAAGATCTAAACTGATCAAGATGATGTTTAGAAACCCTAAACAACACTTTATATAGGTGTACAAACGTGGATGATAATCTGATAAATAACCAGACCAAACCCTAACAGGAATTCATGCAAACAGAAACCCAAACGAATCAGGAAACTGTCGATGAGTCGACTCATGACTGAGATGAGTCGACTCACGACCTCATATGAGTCGACTCATAACTGATGAGTCGACTGGTCAGAGACTTGTGCTAACAGTGCTTGATTTCGTGAGTCGACTCATGACAGGCATAAGTCGACTCAACCTGATGAGTCGACTCATGTTCATGTATGAGTCGACTCACGAGCTGAAAACTGGATTCTTCGAATCTGCTGCTCGCCGTCTTATTCTACGCTTCCACCTGCGTTCCACTGTACTGTTTTACACCCCTATTCTCATGCTATTATGAGAATCATCTATCATCAAGCTCCTATGAGAATCGCTAAGTTTCGAAGAGAAGATACACCCGTATCATGGGTCCCCTCTTTAGTAACTTGAAGTCTCGTTCAAGTTAGAACTTTTGCTGAGGAAACTCTCGAGCTCCTCCATCTTTTCTGCACCATCTGGCCCTGCTAGGAACCTGGTCTCGACGTCCGATCGGAAACATATCATCCATCCCGTGTCTCGTCGTAATCACCTTTCGCCCCAAGTTGCAATCCTTTATCAATAACTTTTCTGGAAGTCTAATGCACAGCGAGACAAACTTCTTGCTTGCATTCACTAGTCTCTTCGCTCGCGTCACCGTCCCCAAGCTTGTCTCCCTCGAAAGAGATGTCGAACGAAATCTGAACTTTTCACCATCCTTAGTGAAGGTGTACTTCTGAGCCCGCCTCTCGTAGATGGCATATCTATCCCATAAGTACAGATTGTCCAGTATAATCTGACAAACATCCAATGAAACGACGTCGCACGTGACCTCGTCAATATACGACTCGTGGAGCGCAAATCTGACAGTGCATTGATCAACTACACTCAGTTTCTCCACCTTCTGAATCCACCCCAATGGATAGGGCTTCGGATGCTTGATCGTCTTCAGGCCCAGCTTCTGAACCAATGTCTCGGATATCAAATTCTTCTCGCTGCCCGAATCAACAATAGCATCAACCAAACTGGTCTTCACTTGTAACTTAAGAACAAAGAGTTGCTCTCTCGGGTCGTCGTCCTCTTTCGTGGTCTGCTTCCCTGCCATAAGGTTGAGACTGCTGTTGAGCTCTGTCATCCCCGGGACTTCTTTCGGACCTTGAGCTATCATGTATGTCTTTTTCTCCTCATTCTTCTTCAATCCTCTCGGCTTGAGATGAGGATACCTCTCCCAGCACCGATCAGTTGTGTGCCCTGTCTTCTCGTAGTGACTACAAATCAGCCCTGCCTTCCCTGGATCATCTTTTTTCTTCTCCTCCTTAGATTGAAAACCACTAGACTCGCCTCCCGTCTGTTTGGAGTCTCCTTTAGCCTCGTTGCCCTTCTTTTGCTTGCCCTCGAGGGCAATAGCCTTCACGCTCGCCTCTGTAATTGATTCTACCATGAATAGCTTCATCTCCTTTTGGATGTAATCGCTCAATTCCGTCATATACTTCATAAACACGGAATATTCCTCTGTCGTAATGTTGAGGACCATCGCCTGCTGCTGGAACTCCGTGGTGTATTCTTAAACGGTTTGATTGACCCTTTAGTGCAAGACGTACCACTTGTACTAACGCTCTTCAAGAAATCCCACCGGTAGAACTGCTTCCTCAGTAACTCCTTGAACTTGTTCCACGACACCGTCTTCTTCTCCTGCTTGCAGTAGGATTTTCATCACGTCAACGCGTGCCCTGAAAGCTTCAAAGTCGCGAACACAATCTTCTCTTTTGACGAATAGCCATAAAGAGTAAAATACATCTCCATCCACTCGATCCAGTCATCAAGCCTCTCGACGTCAACACTCCCATCATAAACAGGAATCTCCACCTTGAAGTCAATCTTCAGGTTCTGATAAGAATTCTTATCCCCTTGATGCAATGCAGCCTTAACGATCTCCTCATCCTCGTCGGAATCTGAATCTACTCTCTCCACATCGGACTCAATAATTTTCTTCGAAGAAGATTCACCTTGTTTGCCACCTCCATGGATAAGACTGACGAGTTGTGTGAGAGTCGAACCTATCGTCTCGATCTGCTTCTCCAATGCATCAATCATCGCTGAATTGTCTCCTTCAACCATCTCCTCCTTCCTTAAAACCCGAACTCCTTCCAAAGAAATAAGAATCTCGCCAAGCTTCTTGTATTGCGATCGAGTCAGGACCATACACAGGATGCCCCCTTCGCAGGATCTGATCGTTCTGATACCAACTTGATACGAGTCGCCGTACGAGCACCATTTGGTCGCGGAATTACCAAAAGGTGGGTTGAGAAGAAGACAACTAAAACACAAGAACAATTCAGTATGACAAAGGAAAATACCTTCTCTAGATTATGAAGAACAAAAGATTACAATCTCTCCCTCATAAACTCACTAGAATCGAGAACAACCTCTCAATCCTCTCTAAACCCTAATACAATGATTAGAATCTCTCTTAATTCCCTCTGATTTAAGATCTCTAAGATTTCTAAGATCTAAGCTGATTAAGATGATGTTTAGAAACCCTAAACAACCCTTTATATAGGTGTACAAACGTGGATGGCAATCTGGTAAATAACCAGACCAAACCCCAACAGGAATTTGTGCAAACAAAAACCCAAACGAATCACGAAACTGTCGATGAGTCGACTCATGACTGAAATGAGTCGACTCATGACCTCATATGAGTCGACTCATAACTGATGAGTCGACTCATAACTGATGAGTCGACTGGTCAGAGACTTTTGCTAACAGGGCTTGATTTCGTTAGTCGACTCATGACAGGCATGAAACAGGCATGAGTCGACTCATGTTCATGTATGAGTCGACTCACGAGCTGAAAACTGGATTCTTCGAATCTGCTGTTCGCCGTCTCGTTCCACGCTTCCACCTGCGTTCCACTGTACTGTTTTACACTCCTATTCTCATGCTATTATGAGAATCATCTATCCTCAAGCTCCCATGAGGATCGCTAAGTTCCGAAGAAAAGATACACCCGTATCAACTTAATAGACCAAATCCATCTCATGACTGCAGGTCTAGATTAAACTTGGCGATACTGCAAGTAACAGGAGGTACAGTGTTTAAGGGAATGCTGGGTGATAACTAGTTCCGGAGTTCAAAAACAGGGGATAAGGCATTAAATCTTAAAATTACTAAAAGATACTAGTGCAAGTACGGAATGTGATAGATTATCCTTAAAAAGAATTGAGAATAAAAAAAGATAAAAAGAAAGAACAAGGAAAACTACTAAATTTAAAAAGTAGAAGACCGTGATTGAACATTTCCAACAAATTAAGTGCAAACTCAAGATTGATTTAACTGGTAAGACTTCTTCGAGCTGAACCATGAAGACTTATGCTTGGCGATTGAAACATATGTATTCATTGTAATATTGTATCGTTCAACATGTAAAAAGAATGAAGTCATGGATGCAGTGATTATTGTACTGGTACCTGCAATGCAAACATACAGATTGCCGAAAGAGGACTCGCTAGTAGTCCAAATGAAAGAACTGTATACCTGCAATGATGACAAATCAAGATTATACGTTTGTTAGGCTGAAACTTTAATATATTAATGAGAACAACTAATATACAATTTCATTGATAAGCTAATAGATCATTTGATCATGTAAGACAGATTGCACTCTTGGTATATGATTCTGTTAAACTTCTCCTATTAGATACTCAAGAAGAAGCGGAGTATTAGAATTGCATGAAAACGTTATTCTTAAAAAGTCTTTAGTCCTCCACATTGCAGTTTGCTGACTAGATCATACCACCAATCATACACTATCTCGACAAATAATAAGTTAATCTACAGGGATCTCCTTCTGTGAACAATGTAGTATATAAGCATTTGCAAACGACAACACATTTTCAGCCTTTACAAGGTTTACACTCCAACAATAAAGCACAAACAAGGTTCTCCATGGAAAAATTAACAAGATAAAACCGAATATTTTTTCTTTTGCATGCAAAAAAGGAGAAGGGAGACCATAAAAAGAGATTAAACCATTTATCTCCGTTAGCCATTGTTAAGTGCCAATTGTTAGTATTAGCCAACAACAAGCATGGAGTTGAATAATTCTACATGATAGTTCAATAAGACAACCAGCATGATGTAGATTATCCTAACAAATGATGAAGATTCCAACACAATCATCAATACTGAGAAATTTAGTTCTATGCCACACTTCTGACGAAACCACCTTTCCCTCCAAGGCTATACAACAAGGGGCTCCTTTTTCGAGCCAACCATATGCAGAGTTAAGAGAGATAGGCCATATAATGATGGGACTAGACTTTCTAGATTCATCCTCAGCTTTATTTGAAACTAGATATAGGCAGCCAAAGGCGTATTTCTCCCATAAGTTGAAGTGGGAGCAAAATCAAGCATGGATCATGAAGAACAGGGGGAAGAAGTTGCAGAGGCATGTAACTAGATGTGTCTATACTCTATAAACACAAACTGTAACCATCTGTAAAGCTTCCTATAAAAAAGGCCTTGGCTACATCTCCACAAAATCGTGAAAGCTCCATAAAAGGATTGTGCAAATTCCTGCAAATGCAGTAAAGACTACTATTTGAGTGTAGTATGAAAATGGATCAAGTCTATAAAAACAAGCAGCAGCATCGAGTCAGTTGCACGCAAATGCGCACATAATGACATATAATGTCTGTGTTTGTGTGCGCGCGCGTGCACATAGTGACATATATAATATTATGTTTCTTATATCAGCTCAGATAGTCAAATATTCAGAACAAATACCAACCCTGCAACGGAACAATGAATCAAAATCTGCCATCAAAGTGAATAGTAATAACTTCGAAAGGGATCAATAGCAGGAAGAGTCGTACGCAGGATGATCAGATGCTTTAGCTCCTGCTTGTATGAGACAGTAACTGATTCCACCCAATATTGATGAACATATGCCAATTAAAATTGCAAAAACAGGACGACTGATCTCACCATCTCCGATTATATCCCCTGCACAGATTCCATAAGAAATTGTAAAACAAAAAATAGGTAGCGAAAGGCAAGCAATATGCTCTAGAACATAATAATGGTTTGAAATGTACTCTACACATCCAAATCAATAGAAGACACATGCATGCATATCATACTATAATTGAATGACATCCTTGGATGCGTATAATTGAGAAAATTGAGACGCAATGCATCGTGTACAGTAAAAGTAGAAAGGTGGAACAGTTATTACTGGCGTTATCATTATGAGTTTTCCTAAAAAGCACCGCAAAACAAGTATTTAACATTTTCAGTACCAATTGTATTTCTAGAGGTTCCTAAGACAAGCATATCTGAAAAGAAACAACCAGCACTGAACAGCAAAAAAAGATAACAGCCTTGTTTCCTTTTCTTGTTCTATCTTGGAAGGAGAGATGCCTAGATAGAGCCTAACGGAAATTAAAAAATCATGCAATCAACACAGAATTTCCTGATAAGGCTTCTGTTTTTCTAGCTAGTGGTAGTGATGGTCATGATGGGTGCAAGTTAGTTGGGTTCATGATGGGCCTAGCAAAACTCAGACCTGCTGGAATTGGCTCAATACTAAGAACCAAGAGAAGATGTATCCATTCAGTGAGTGGGGGCTGGATCGGGTTAGTAAAGTTCACCATTTTGGAGTTTGGATCCACATTTTTTAATATTTTTTTATGACTTATGGGTCTCTTGACTTTCTTCGATTTTCATGGCGTCGAGCTCTAAATTTTCAACCCTTGCCATTTGGAGTTTCAGCTCTAGGTTTCATTTACAAAAGTGTTCACAGATTTACACTTTGGACATGGGTCAAACCAAAATAGGGGCAGCTCTGGGTTGGGTTTGAATAAAACTTACTTGCACCCTTCGTGGCGATCATTTCTAGCCTTAATGATTGCCGTAACCTAACTTACACTTGGCAAAGTGTAGCCGGCCTCCATTTTAGTCCCTAAGATTTAGTAAAATTCTAGGACATGCCGGCATTGCAAGCAAGCTTGAGTACGCACATAGTTGGAAATGCATATATGCATGTACCCACTTTATACAACTACTGAAGGGAGTTCCTTCAGTGGCTAATTCTCTCAAGGAAAGCAAATGATTAGAAACATTCAGGAAAAAAAAGGGTATTTATTCAGTCATATTATGGTATCAAGATAAAGCAATAGAATCCCTAATGACAAGCACTTCTTCCAAACATATACAGGAGCTCCTAATATAGTTTTGTAAAAATATTTATCATAGATTTTCATTCTTGTTACACCACGGAATGGATTTCTAACTGTCTAATTAAAAAATCTAACCTTTTTCCCTTTCACTTTGCTCTTCAAAAGGAACTTCTTTCAAACATATAATTAGAGCTCCTGATATTATTTTGTAAAGATATTTATTATAGATTTTCATTCTTATTACACCACATAACAGATTTCTAATTGTCTAACCAAAAATCTAGATAGCCCTTTTCCCCTTTCACCTTGCTCTTCAAAAGGCAATCGCATTAGCCTAGTGTTGAATTTCCCTGAAATATGAGATTTTTGCCTCCAATTCATGCAGAACAGAAATCAATAGTTTACCTTGGTTATGGCCTTTATGGGTCCTATTACTATGAAGGTACATAGAATGCACATTATAAGAAGCATGCTGATGCAAACCAGGGCAGGGGCTCCAATCCGAAAGTCGAAGGCTCCCGAATATAATGCCGTTGACGTCAATCTGTATCCGATCGGACAGTATGAAGTTCTCGATATAGTGAATTTTGACGCGTACTTGAATCTAATAGGGATCTGAAATGAGAAGGGGGTAGATTTTTAAGTTCCAATAACTTTCCAAAGCCGTGTTGTAAGGTCTTAGCGTAAGAGATCATAACTCATTGAGGGTCAATCGGAGGAGATCCAACAATGGCAATACTCAATCAGATCAAGAGAACTCATTGGGGCTCGTCGAAGCTCGGGCGTGGTTGGATCTAGTCAACGAAGAGGCACGAGAGGTCACATATCGAGGAGAAGGCAGATGGGGAGTTATGAATATACAGTTCACGCAGATGAACAGTATGTCAGTTACTGTGCATCGGTGGTAGTACCTTTTTCCCTAGGATCTTTTGGGGATTAGTGTTTTGATTGATCGGAGGGCAAAGATTTGAAACAGAGTTGGATTTGAAGGCTGTTGATTAAAAAAGACTTAATTGAAGGGGCCTCACACCATTTAGCAATTTACATGCTCAAGAGAATTCTCATAACTCAAATTTTTTATTCATTAATTTCTATTCCTCATTGAGAACTACATCTTATTTATAGAAAAGAAAGCTAACAAACCACATTTGGAAGTAAATCATAGTCACAATCAAATCCTAACATAATTAAAAATGCAACCAAATAAAATCCTAACTAAACTAGAAGAAAGAATCAAAATCCAATCCTAAAGAAATCCTAACTTAAATAGAAGATTACATAGAGTAAAATCAAATGCCACCACAAAAGTAAAGATCCTAATAAATCCTAATTTCATGAGATCGACGGTCCACAATCTTCCCGCATCACATGCCTTGCATGTATTCACCTTTCACCTTCTATAAATTTCGTCTACCTCTCATTCGCCTTAAAAAGCGTGCTCCTTAAGCTGATAATTCAAGCTCTATCCACCCAATCATATATTAAAGTCACTAGATCGAATGTTTCAATTTCTAGCAATAACATCTGTCCCAATAAATAGACAAGATCTCACAAAATTTACCATCCTTTTAATTCTACTAGGGAAGAATTTATACTGCATAGTCAATATGACAAATGTTAATATTCAATATGTGCAGAAAAAATAGTACAGAAAATTTCACAACAACATAGATGAATTATCACCCCCCAAAAAAAAGAACATGCTATAGAATGTAAAACTAGAAGATTCATAAACATAGATATATGTAAATTAGATCAAAAAAATAAAGCAGGTTGTGAGCAGAAACTAACCGAGAAGTATGAAGATGAATATATGGATAGCTAGATATCATGAAATTACAATAGTTTCTACATACTGAAAGCACGGCTGTTCCCAATATTCCATACCTCGAGTTAGAAGACTAGGCATGCAAGTCAGCACTAGACCAACGTAACTACAAGCTATACCTGACGAAGTGATACATCATACATGATAATCAGTTACTTGCAGACAGTCAAACATAAAGCTCTACGATTATGTTAATAATTTGCATGTGCAAATTACAGAAATTGTACAAAAATGCAATTATAAATTTTAATATCATATTCTAATGCATGATAAAAGAAGTAAAAGAATTACATGTGGGAATACTGATCTCATATGCAAGAGAAATTATATAATTCATGTTTAAAAGTTGTAGTTTAAAAGGAAAAAAATATACTATTAAGTTAACTCCTTCCATAGCAGAACATAACAGCCTGAGCCCAAGACATGTAACTCAAATCCTCTTTTAAGCAAACAGCTACATTAGTGATTCATAGTTAGAAATCCCATGGTCCAAGAGGCTGTGTATGCTATTAATTAGGCTGATTACACATATTTGAAAGGACATACAAGGACGGACTAAATGACTGTAGTTCTGGTTGTAATGATTTTCCTAAGTATGATGATATGAATTTGCTACTGAGTTAATACACTTCAAAGGTCAACAAAAGTGTCTTAGACCAGTCAATTCTAGAACTAAGGAATTCTCCATAGCTGATGCATTTTAACTAATGAGAATAGAATATCAAACAAGGTCACTTAGACCAAAAAAAGCTTTGGCCATTTGTATAAACTCAACAGTCACTCAGAAAGTTGTTCGCAAGACCGATCTCTTTTCATAACATAAAACCATCTTCTTGGCAATCAAACTGTGTGAAGTTTCTACTGATTCATGTGATCTTTTAATACAAATACAACATGAACGCGGAAAATTAAAATCAATGGATAAATTAACAGTATTACTCTACAATCTTACCTCCACTGTATGAAATTGCCAGCTTCTCCTGTAAAATGATCGTCGCTCCCATAGTTGCCATAATAGGGGTTGCAAAGTTCAATATAATGGCAAGCGATAGAGGTAAATTTTGAACACTGACATGGAAGGATTGAAGATTGGTCATTTAACACTGAATAGTACATTAAAGGAAAGAATGAGGTTTCTGATACAGGAACTGGTCATGTAGAAGGCTGTAGTCCAAGGATTTAGTAAAGGAGACGTATATATGCATAGTTACAATGCCAGCATACATAGAAAGATGCATGTAAAGGAGTAAGCATAACTGGCTAATGTCAAAAAATAAAAAGTGATGTATGAGATCACACAGACCTCAACTTCATAAAAAATAGTCAAGATTAGAACATCCAACTCTATGGTAGTTTCTAAATTCTAGAGGGGCCGGTTTATATATTGATATGCACCCATACCTATTTAAAGTTAAAACCAGATATATAAGATAGTTATACTAACCCATATGAACTACTAGAAGAAAATTTAGTTTGAAACTACAAGTACAAAGTAAATAACAGAAGTCCATCTCCATGAAAGAAAATATGAACTACTATGACAAACACAGCCACCAATGCAAGCTCTGCTACCTCCCCAGCTCTTCCCCCTTTTCCTCCTCTCACCTTCCGATCCCCTCTGACAGTGCAGCCGTCATGGAACAGCATCACAAGCTGGAGAAATCCAAATGGAGATGCAGATAGATTTCCTATTTGGTTCAGGAGAATTGGTTTGGAATTAAGCACACAACTAGGAGATTTCTTGAGTGAATCGTGTTATAGTACCCTGATTCATATATACAATTGGATATGATCAATTTCTTTGATAATAATGCAAGGAGAGTCGACAGAAACTTCCTGGTGCAGTAATCTTTCTTAGGGCCAAGAATTAAAATTTTGGAGTGAAATAAGACATTCGTCAAGAGAGAAGAATCGAGTGTTGCTGAAGCAAGGAGAGATGACTAGAAATCCTTAATTCATCATCATGTTTTGTATCGTTAATGTGCAGTGTTATTGCTCATAGACCTTTACAGTCTAAAACTCATCACTCTCCATCAATAGAAGAAAGTCACTCCAAAGGAGATCATTAATGGTGATTTAGCAACAAATTGAGCCTGTTCTCACTGCAACATATATTTCTCCTCATTGAGAGTCAATCATAAATGGATTATTTCGACTTTTTATCCAACCAAAGAGTAAATCAATAAGGCTGGACCATTTTATTTGTGAACTTTTAAATTGCAATATAGTTAGTGTAGTAATTGGAGCTTAGTCAGGTGTCTTATTTGAAGTGCTTTATGATATTTTGTTGGCTTCCCTAGTTCATAATGTCTATATGGTTGATGTTCTTCTTTGGTCTGTGTATGTTACAAAAGTAACTGCTAATTCTTCGATTGAAATTGAAGAGGGAGATGTATGTGCTGATAAACAGAGAATGCAGAGACACACAAAGAGAACATGTCCCCTCCACCCGGTCCCCAGGCCCCCACCCCCTACCCAAGAAAAAAGCACAAGCATATGATCATTAAAATAAGAGACCACACTATGATGCTTCTATTTAATTGATGACGCAAGGTTAATTGAGGATTATATTCTAGACGACCAAAGCTATATTGATTTAGAATTATATACTCCATTTTTGGCTTTACATGTCCCAATGAATTCTGTAGTTCATTCCAGATTACATTAGACAAAGCATGTCACCAATAGTACTCCTGGATGCCATTATATATCAAAAGCTAAACAAAGGTTAAATATATGCATTTATTACATTAGTCACAAGTTACAAATCAAATAACCGTTAATGCACACTATGTCAAGCATGAAGGATTAGTAAGTGGAACCTTGAAGCATTTGATAACTGGATAACAGGCATGGGTCAACAAATGCAGCCTAACTAAAACACCACAACACAAGTAATTTTTCTAGAGAAGTTCAAACAAAAAAGTAGCAGAAGCACCACTGACCTATAAATGAAACTCAGCACTGAGATAAGCCCAGTTAGGGATCTGAATATTAGAAGATTTCTTACATGTCTTGGTACAAATAGAGGTTGCCCGGTCCTTCTCAACCAAAGAAATGAGAGTAGCAAGATTATTGTAGATCTTGTAAATAATGTTTGGAACAAGGGAATTGATCGGACTGCCGACAAGAAAAACAATAAAGGCAATCAGTGAAATAACGTGAATGTCGTGCAAGGTATGTGTTCTACTGAATATGCCTCTAAAATAGTAGAATGTGTATCCAAAACTATTGATAATATTCTAAATTTGTCAAATGCAATGTGTAGGTGAAAATGAAAGCACTGGAAAACCATGACATTATTGGGAAAAAAGATACTGATAATTATTGCTAATCCCAAGTGAACGCATCGTCATGAGTAAATATGGAAAATAACAATATTGAAAATTTAATTCGACACTTTAATTTATTTTAATTGTTGATTATTGACATCCGCATTATAACCACAATAGAACAAAAAATCTTTGCTTGGCATTGCTGGGCTTAATACTAACTTCTCACTTTTATGGCTGCTACTTCAATTAAAATAGAGAAGCCTAAACACATATCATTCAATACTGTATATAGATATTGTTTATACAAGAGTAAAAGCACAGAAGCTATATGACCATGAATTTTATTAGTACATACTACTGTATTCCCAGAGTAAACCTAAATAGTCAAGCTATTCACAAATTGAGAGGTATATTAAGAAGAAATGAAGTTTTAATATACCCATGCGTGAAATCTGATAGATGTTTGACTTGAGTAACTATCATATGGATCAGCCCATCTAACCTGAACAGTTCAATTGTATTAAAGGTTTTGGGTTTCATAAGAGGTTGACCCGACAGAGAGAGAAAATTGTAGGAACTTGGTACCAAGCACAAATTTTGTGCTTGGTAGTGAGGTGTCTCATTCTCATCCACTCTCCAACCCATGTGAATGTAGTCCACCATTTGAGTGAGTGGATGGGAATGAGCCACCTCACTATCAAGTACAAAAATTTGTGTTTGGTACCAAGTTCCTCTATATTGCTCATATGTGTGTGTGTATGTGTGTGTATACATATATATAGTAAGACTCCTATCAACTTAAAATGATATCCACCAAACTTCCTAGCCACTCATTTATTAATATAAAAAACCTTTTCATATCATGCAAGGGTCCCTAGACAATATGAGTGGCTAAAAAGTTTGGTGGATAACTTTTTGCTATCCACTTAAGTTGACATAAGTTTTGCTCTGTGTGTGTGTGTGTGTGTGTGTGAGCAAATATGCATATATGTATGTGGATATATGTATATATGTATGTAGATATATGTATATATGTATGTGTATGTGCATATATGTATGTATATATGTATATATGTATGTGTGTGTGCGCGTGCGAATTTGCGTGACCAAACCCAGGCTGAAAATGTTCAT